ACACTGCAGCTGTCTAGTTTAAGGAAATCGAATAATGTATTTACGTCATCATTTACTACTATCGAAATAATAAATATATTCTCCTTGTGTTCGGTAGGTTGAGAGTTACGAAAATATATGAAATTAAATTTATGCATATAGGTATTATATTGTGTACTTGTTAATGTAAATTGCCCATGACGTGTGTCGATAGTTTTTTTGGTTACAAATTTGTCGAAAGGGTAAACCGGAGACAACGATAATCGTCGGAGTTAACGAAAAGAAAATTGATTTAATTACTGAAAGGTAAAATGTAATTATAATTTATTTGGAAATTCCACGCCGGTAATATAATACAACCAATGACATTACAATAGTAACCAAAAAAAAAAATAAAACATCTGTTGAGTAAGGATATCAAAAACAAAATATATAATATACATATTCGGAAGCAATAATAATATTATAATCCTACTAGTATTATAAACGCGAAAGTTTGTAGATATGTTTGTTACTCTTTCACGTAAAAACTACTGAATAGATTTTAATAAAACTTTACAATAATATAGCTTGTACATCGGAATAACACGTAGGCTACAAATCACCCCCCTAGGTACAACCAGGGTATGTGCTCAAACGGGGACTTAGAAATTTACGGTGGACATTTGTGTTTATAAATGATCGCCATGGGTTTTAAAGCTATTATAATAATAATTATTGGTTGCCGTGGAATCAGTGTATTCATTCAATGCATTTAATATTTATTTGTACACTGTGTTTTACTGTTTTGATATTATATGTATCGCAATTACGTAAATATTGAGCGTATTATACCCGCATATAAGTTACGTACATAAAACAATGCCACGTATTTGTGGACGAGGAGGAGATATTGGTCGACAGACTCGGCATTCACAATTAGTCCAGCCGTTTAGGAGGAGTTCAGTGACATACTTGGTATAACTTTGATACTTTAGAGTTAAATTATAAAGTTAGGTACAAACAGTACGGGTTCCGCGATCTACCGCAGATAGATTGCCTACCTGATAATATACTGCTGCGAATTAGAATTTTTATCCCAGGCAACAGAAGACTAGAAGAGTTAAGATAAATTTTGAACACCATACACCGAATATTAAATAACGAATTGAATAAAGTTTGAGTCATATAGAGTTGGTACATTTAACGGGAAATTAAGCGCAAGGGATCAGCTAGTATTATAATATATACCTAGTGCCTATTGTATGCGTATGTAGTACATGTACATTAGTACAAACTTATGCCTGATGGTAAAATAAATTACAACTTTAATTACAATAATAATATTATCATAAAATATTCTTAGTAATTATATAGGCAAACAGATCGTCTTCGCTTAGAATCATTTATCGTATACAATTTTAATTCAAATTTAACACATCCATTACAGTGACTTCTTTAGACAACTGATGTACAGGCGTACAGCAAAGAGTTACCCACTGCCTGCTTTTTTTTCTTGTTTTTCCTAGTTATTACGAAAAGTAGGTAGGTAGGTAGGCATTTACTTTTGACCCTTCAAACTACTAACTATAGATCCATTTTGCCATCAAAAACTACCCTCAAAGTTAAAAATTGAATATTATTTTTACTGCCTCGAAATATGATGACAAACAGAACAAAAAACACACACATCATTGTAAAATCAATACATTCATCCCTCCTCTCTGAATCTAACAGGAGCTTATAGGTCTTCTCGTAACTGCACTTCTCCACCGCACTTTCGTATTATATTGCACTGAGATTAATATAATATAACGTCGGTGCATTATTTCAATAATATTATGAAGAATGAAGTGAATGATGTGAATTGTTGGTATAAAAGTGTATTTGATTCACTTCGGACTAGTAATATTATTAAGACCATTATAGGAATATGTGTTCTATTCAACGAGTTTCATATCGACTTCCGAGTTCCGAGTATCGTAGGCATACGTTGTAACTTGTAAGTACCGCCTAGTGCAGGTGTACTTTCTTCCGGATTTTTCATCGTGAAAACTGATTTCACTGCTGCAATGTCCAAACATCCGATGACTATATTTTGTCATAAATACGCTGTGTTATACATTTCATAGCCGATGGGTGACAAAAATGAAGAGGTAGTATTTTTTTTTTTGAGCCGAAATAAGTTTTCATGTTTTTAATCATCGCAAGTCGCAATAATTACATAAAACGTATCACCAACCACGTATACCTACGTATAAATGTGTATATACAGTAGGTATGCCCGTATAGAGATATCTACAACCTACCTACTATTAATTATGATTAATGTTTGTGTAATCATCTAAACCTTAAATTCCAATTTCCAACTATTCTTTTATCAATTTGTATACTGTCAAACCGTCGCGGACTGTCATCGAGTTTAATTACTACAATAAGGTAATAAACGAGGTTAGTGAAATTTACCACTTCTTACTTGATAGTTCTTCATAACACTCGAAGTGGCGAATCTTGGATATTTTTAAAGGGGTACCTACGTGCTACGTCCTACTTAACGTTAACACATTGACGTTCACACATGCTATAGCAGTCATGTTTGTTAAGTCATAGCAGGATAGATCCCATAAATGCCATACCATTTGCCATAGAAATATAGCATTGACCAATAGGTAATTGAAAGTGACGCTAAATTGACAGAATTTGGTGTAATGCTATGTAGCAGGCATGATGACCTTCAGTGTGTTAACATATGGTTAGATACAATGTATGAAAAAAACATTATAATAGCAGTGTTCATAAACGTAGGTAGTATATTTTATTATTTTTTAATAGCCAATAGGTATAATATAATATATAGGTAAGATATAGCCATATAGGTATAGTTACATTAAAAAGTTGAACATTACTTACCTATGCTGGTAGGTACCACGTGGAAGTGAGGTAAATTATAATATAAAACCATATAGGTACGACCGTATTTTATTTTTTTATGCAAACATTATATTTGAATATTAATTATTATTTTTATGCACCTGTACCTACTTCTTAGACTGTAGCATCTACTGGTTGACGTATGTTCCGTGACGCTAAACCATTTACTCGGTTATTGGTTGACGAAGTTTCGGAGGCAGCAGGCTGGTTTCCACTATACACGTATGCGTGTACCTACATGCATACAAATCCTTTGCTGTGATTGGTTGGTTAGGATCAGTTACCACATGATTGACCACGATACCGTGTTGTTGGACATAGCTAAAGGTGGGTTTCCACTATATACACGTTTGTTGGGTACACGAAAAATGTTCAGCTATGTCCAACAACACGGTATCATGGTTAATCCGGTTAATCGTGTGGTAACTTAACGTAACCAACCAATCACAGCAAAGGATTTGTATGCACGTGAACGCGTACCTACGTGTATGGTGGAAACCCGCCTTTATACCTACTTCTTCGACTGTTTAAGCATCTACTGGTTGACGTATGTTCCGTGATGCCGAACCATTTACTCGGTTATTGGTTGTCAAAGTTACGGAGGTACCTACCTATGTTTTAACGTAGAACAATTTCGTTCAAACAACATTTTGAAACAGACAGTTTAGCAACAATCTGAAGAAGCTTTATAAATATTGGACATCGATTTATATGCAGTTATACAGAGCATCAAGTATTTTATTTTATTCTAAATATCTATGCCGCCATAATTTAACTTCTGTTTTAAAAACGGCTATTGATCCCCGAAATTAGAATAAGATCTCTCAAAGAATATTATAATATAAATTCTAATAAGAAATAAGGAAATCTAAACACAACTTAATATGAATCCCCCTATGCATAATTGACCTTATTGTGATTTGTGCTTAAATATTTTTAAGAACGTTCGGATCAGGGGGTGGGGAGGGTCATATCCACAAAACTATGCCATCTAGCTAGCACAGTGGCGTAGACATGATTTCTCAATAGGGGGGAGGGATCAAAAAAAGAAAACGACATAGCTAAATGGGAGGGGAAAATTGGAAAACCCTCAACTTCTGAAAACTTTTTACTTAGGTAGTAAAATATTTAACAATAAGGAACAATGAATATAATTTGAATTGATTTATAATTCACATCAAACACAATAGGTATGGAAGATTATCCACTCTAAAGCCAATGGGAGGGGATCTGACCCCCACGTATACGCCACTGGTCAATCATACTATTGTTAGTGTTAGACAATTGAACCCATCGTTTATAATATTATTAATATTAAATCATAATATTAGATTGTAGAAACCAGACGCTAGTAGACGTACAGAAGTTTGGTAACTAGGTAGGCACCTATATATTGGTTACTAATATTAGGTAAAACAATTTTAAAAATGTGCTAACTTAAAAGCTTTTATACGCAAACCTCAAATTCAATGACCATTTATTTCGCTATGCTGTTTGGCAAAATAATTTCCATGAAATTTGAATTACATAAATTAAGTTGTACAAGAAAAAATCTTCTTATATAGGTAGTGAAAATTTATTTGATGCAATACTTATCTACTGATATTTTTAAATGTGTAATTAGTATAACTATAAAATATATAGAGTTTGTCATTTTTTTTAAATATATAACTTCATATAGGTAATATAAAATATAAATATATAAAGTAGCAAAATCAATATAAAATAGATCATAACTATGATATTCTATAAATTTTATGAATCAGTGAACTAAAAAAAACCATATCAGATACAAGTAGAACAAAAATCTGATGAATAGCACTCAATTTGAAATTGATCTGTCTCAATTTGTTCATTATATTTCAATCTAAATCCAGAGTATTTATAATCATCAAGAATTAAAGATAGTATTAAAAAAAATAAATTTTAATAGTAATAAAATAGGTATTTTAACAAAAAATCATTTGTTTTATATTATATTTAATTATATAATACATTATAATATTTTGTATAAATTAAAAAACAAAGTAACAATATATATATATGTACAATCTTCAGATGAGGCTAAAATTGTTTTTACTTTATGCAACGCTGTAATGTTTAAAACACATTCAATCTATATCCAAATACGACAAATCGTCTTCATCTCCTAATGAGAAAATATTTGACAAATTTAAAGATGGTTCATTTTGGATTGTTGGTAATTTTAAAGTATTTGATTGTTCTTGACCACTGTTTGAACTGGTTGGCTTTTTGTTGCATCGAAATGCGCTCAACTTTAATCTTGCCAACTGTCCTGTATCTAATTTAGTACTAGATGGTGTTTGTGAAGAGTCAATTTTTCGTTTTAGACAAGGACTATTGACAATGTTTGTTGACATCTTTGGTGGCGTTAAAGTTGTTATGGGCAAGGTTGATGATTTTATTGTAATGTTGGTATTATTTTTACTGGTGCTGTTGACGAAAATATCTTCATCATCAGAATCTTCATCAATCATAACTTGAGAGTTTTTGGGAGAGTTAGCACATATTTTCTTAATATTAGAAGATGTTGTTGGTTTTATTATTTCTTTTTTGTGAATCTGAGACTTGTAAAAATCTTTTTGTTTTTTTATTTTGATATTTTGTATTGTTTCTGATATTTTGTTTGTTAAGCTATTGTTTGAACTTTTTGAAAGAGTATTTAATGTACTAACATCATCTATACTTGATCCTGTTGAGTCAGATAAATGTATTAAAGATGTATTACACCACAGCTCCATTTCCTTTTCAAGGATGTCATCCAAGCCTAACTTTTTTAAAATTGTTTCCACTACAAACAAAAAATATTGTTATAATACTATCTAATAATAAAATTGATAATAGTAGTAAAATGCATTACTTTCTTTGATATATGTTTCTTTAGGACATTGTGGAAATTTAGTATATAAGGTATTGATGCTATCTGGAGACCCGTCATCATTTGAACATTCCATCAGTGACACAGCAACTATGGCATCTTGAACGAGCACTTGATTACGGAACATGAGTTTTGCATGTGCTTGGGATAACCTAAAAGTATGGAACTCATTACTCAAATGTAATTCATTCTACAATGGTCATAAAAGTAATAGCATATTATATACCATGATTAAATAGATATATTATAAAATTGTTTAAGGCATGATATATAGGTACTATGCTATTACTTTCAATAGAAAATAGAAATAATATTTTTTCTTAGAAATTTAAACAAGTACCCAATAATTATATAATTAAAATATTAATTCATTTAGGTAATGTGTTTGATAAAATAAGAATAACTATTGTTTAAACAATAGTTTCAAAATCAGTGACTTTAAGTTATTGGCTTAAAACCACATTTTCTTATAACTACAATACTCTTTTAACTAAATTAATATGATACCTTAGAAGGCTTTCCAAAAACCGTACACTAGTTCTAGCAGCATTTCTGTATGTACTTTGACGTTGCATCCAATAATATTTACTTAGAACTGTGTTAGCATCCTCTGTAGTCTCAGGAGTCATGCTTCTAATAGTGCAAAAATAGTGTTGAAGTTTTTCTAGATTCCATAATGTTGTACTGTTTTTATGAGCTCCAGGTTTTTTTCCTTGAAGTACATACGACGATACAACTCTACATAAATAAGTTAAACCATATTATATCAGTTTAAAATTGAACTTACACAAGCAAAATAATATTAGTTATTACTTTTCCCATTCTTCATTTTTCGTATCTATAAGAATTAAAATTAAGTCGAAACGACTTAATAGTGGACTGGCAATTTTAATATTATCAGTTATGGATAAATTCAAATTGTATCTACTTTTTGGATTCATTGCAGCCATAACAGTACAACGAGTGTCTAGTTTACATACTAAACCAGCCTATGAAAGTAGTAAAAAAAAAATTAATTCTTAAAAAAATGAAAGGTGTATAATAATTACAAGTAATAATTTTTATATGATTCAGTATTGTAAGTACTTTCGCAACACTAATTGATTGTTGTTCCATAGCTTCATGAATTGCTGTACGATCATCTTCCCTTAATGACCCAAACTCATCAACACAACAAATTCCACCGTCAGCCAATACTAGGGCACCAGCTTCCAAATGCCATTCAGACCCTTCCTGTTAATGATAAAAAATTAAAAAACCATCAACATTAAGTCACTATTATTCAATTTTAATTTTTAACCCTGAATGCCGCAACTGTTAGTCCTGCTTTTGATGAACCAACTCCAGTGGTAAATATTGATCTAGGACATACTTTCCATGCAAATTTAAGTAGCTGCGATTTTCCAGTACCCGGATCACCAACTAATAATAGGTGCGTTTCACCACGAATTTTAATTCCACCTCCTTCTGATGCCGGCCGTTGCACTCCACCAGCTAAACCTAAAGCCACGGCCAATTTTGCAGTATACAATCCATAGGTCTAAAATTCATGTTTAAAAATCAAATTAAATAGGAACATAAATCATAATTAGAATATAACTGACTTGAGGACTAATTGATGCAATAATAAGATCTCTAGCTGCAAACAAATCGTTCTTATTATCTTCCCAAAATTTTTCAAATTCTTGCACCCATTCATCTGTTATCATAATTGCAGACTGTTGATCATTACAAACAATCAAATGGTTAGCTCTGAAGCATAGTTCTATGTCAATATAAGAGTTTTCAATAGTTTGATGCCATCTTCGAATAACGGTGCCACTAAAATAATAATTGAACACATTATAAATTCAAATAAAAATATGTAGTGGTCTCGTTTTTACCATATTATAACATCATCACCAGGTTTACACTTATCGACCAAATCATCTTCTAATGATACCCACATTGAGCGAGGCATTGCTCCAAGGCCTACTTTACCAATTTGTTCCTAAAATATTTAACTAATGTTTAAATATTTTTAATGCTTACATATCATAAATGTACACTTACTTGAATTTTAATTTCTTGATAATCTTTTATGTATTGATCTTCATCTTTCAATGGCTTTAAATTAGTACCAGGACAGCCTTCTAAGTTGGGGCATCTTAAAGGAACTATCAATTTGTTAAATTGTTCATAATCAATCTTAAAAAGAACATCATAATTTATAATTATAAAATGTATCTACCTAACAAGTAAAAGGAAGTATAATAAAAGTCTCTGTATTAATATTATTATTTTAAGTAAGTACCTACATAATAACTAATTTATAGTGTGGTAATTATTAATAGTAAGGTAAGCGCCTTACTTTATATTATATTGAGCCTTAAAGACAATCACTATAATTAGTCCATACACCAATAATATAAAATATTATAGACTAGAAATATTAAAAATTTAAGTTATACCTTTACGTCAAATGGTTCTTTACATTTGGAACAGTAATAAGCTCTTTTGTACTCTAATAACTTGGGCAAAACAGTTCGTACAACAGTACCATTGACACGTAAAAATGAACCAATATCTTCATTGCGAGGAAATATTGTACGATGAAGTTCTGGACACAATGGTAATGCTACATAATAAAAACCAAAATTATTTACAAGCTCACCAGCTCTTGATTTATTATAAAATAAACATAGTTATACTAATCAAGTATTCAAGTCTTTAAACATTTTAATATCTATCCAAAAACAATAATAATTGTACAATATATATCCCAGTGAAATAGAGGTAAATAAATTAACATGAAAGTAAATTATTTCAAATACAAATGTATATTCAATGTTAGAATCAATAGGACAATAATACAAAATTACAAACCAGTGATTCGAGCGTGTATTTTTTTTTTAACCCTTAGTTTGACTGTGGTATCTTCATTATTTTTTTTCAAAGCTTTTTGAACAGTTATCAAATCTTTGTCAAACTGTTCGAGCAAATTAATTGAATCCTCTAGTATTTCTTCTCCTAATTTGGCGTTTTTCTCAAAAAGTGTTAAAAAACTAAAAACCCATACAATTGCTAATGAATTCGTAGGTTAAAATATTTAATGATAACATACTTAATTGTTAACGAATAGTGCTGCTTTTTGTCTTCAGATTTTAGTATATTGAACAGGTCATCTTCGTGGTAAGTGTACAGGTACTCTTCGAACATTTTATTTAACGAGGAGACTTATGTAATTCATACAATTTGTTTGCTGTAGAAAGTTATTTCAGAAATCAATCAAGTAATTCTTAAAACTCACAAGTGGTAAGTAAGTACCACAGATAAACATTAAATAATACGATAAATGTGTTAATAGTAAATACTAAATAGGTAGGTACTTCGAAATTTAAATTACTCTTTTCTTATCATTGTATTTGAAAACCGCCAAAATGTCAAATTGTCAATAATATTATCAAATACCTGTGGAATAAATAATATCATAGAACAATAATCATATTTTCAATTTTGTTTGTTTTCTGCACGGCTTTAGATAGTACTATCTTTAATAGCCGGCCTAGCGCGGTACTGTATTTGACATTTGGATTTATGATTTATCTTTAATTCATAATTCAATATTCATATTTCATATTTCAGTCTATACTCATAAAATATCGTAATATTTTGCTCATTGTTCAAGTTTTTCAAGGAAGAAAATAATTTGTATAAATTCATATTTCATGTACCTACTACCTATATAATATAATATTATAGACTATGGTAGTAGGTGGACAGAATAATTCTGTGGTTTACTATTCGGAACTTTTTGTTTTACAGCTGTGGACAAAAAATATTTTGAAGTAATTTATAATAATAATATTGTGTAAGTGTATAATACTAAATTAAGAGGATGTCAGCGCAATATTTGTTTTCTCTCTCTGCAACAAGTGCAACATAGACAAAACGCATAAACGCAGAATCATTTTTTCCATGTTTTTAAATAATCTTAGAGTAAAATCCCACATTACAAAAAAAAAATAAAGATTAATATTTTAGAGGGAATGACATATTGATTTTATATTTTATTGTTATTTGACTTTGTATTCGACTTTCAAAATAAACAAAAAAATTTTGTACATTTTAATTATCTTTAAATTGTTTAAGACAGTATTTAGACAAATTGATATGTCATTCTTTCAAAAATATTATTCTCTATGTTTTTTGCAATGGGTGATTTAAGATTTTACTTTAAGATTACTTAAAAATTTAGAAAAAATTCTGCGTAAATGCGTTTTTATAGCGCGTGGGTCAGAGAGAGAAAACAAATGGTGCTCTAACATCCTCTTAAATTATATATTTAGCTTATGTTTTTTTTAGAAATTCACTAGTTTTGACTTTTGATGTTAACATATTTCCTAGTTTGATTATTATAATTTAATTAAGGGCCGTTCTTACAATGTCCGGTTAGCGTTAACCGACATTTTACTGGCCATTGTAATAACGGCCCTAAGTTTTTGAACAAAAAACTACAATTATTAATATTTTTTAATTTGCAGAATATGAATAGCTTAGATTCTGACACTAGCTGTAAATATGAAGTACTTGCAGAAATATCATTTCATGCCAATACTTCAATAAATCAGTATGTCAAGTTATTATGCAGTCGCCTTTTGGCTCGAAGTTATTTAAAGTACATATAAATTATCAATTAAAATATTAAACTGTTTATTTAATGTTAAGTGAAGTTTAGGTATATTATATTAGGCTATATTGTTTAATTCATTTTTAATTCAAAGTCAACTGAATAAACAGTTTATTTTGAATTGTATAAATGTATATGCTATTTATTTTATCTATTTTTAAATTGTATTTTTTGCTTTAGTAAATTAGATACAAGATGTATTAAGCAGACAGTATCTAATACAGAAGATGAGTGTGCAATCGTTCAGGAGCAGTTTACAAATTTAAGTACTGATGAATCCCAACAACATGCTGAATGGTATGCATATTGGGAAAAAAACGGTGAAAACTTTGTAAATGAATCTTGGATAAAATTGTATGGGAGTTGCACATTGGATGATCTTCCAACAGACCCCGAAGAGTTATATCAGAATCATAAGGAACAACAGTATAATTTGTTATATTGGAAGTTTATAAATGAGATTGGTTCTACTGTTTCGGAAACTGAAAAGTCCATCTCTGAAAATTCGTAAGATATTATTAAAAAAAATTGTTTATATCATTAATAAAATATTGAATTATTTTTATAATGTCCAAACAGTGAGGATGATGGGTGGAGCCATACCAAAGAACTTGTTGATGATGATCGTATTACAAATTTTGAATTTCTTTACAAATATAAGTAAGTGAATTAGTAAAATACATCAAGGGGGACGAGGTGGCCTATCAGTCTAACGCGTCAGTTCGATTCTCGGCCAGTGGGTGGCATTTTTCTTCAGGCAAGTTACACCGTCTGGAGAACAAGTGCCGCCATCCCCCACCCGGGGCATGGCAAAAACCTACGGGTGCCCCACTAGAAGTTCTGCCACAACACACACACGTGTACCAAACCTATCCAATATATAAACTCACAGTTCCACCCCCACCCAATGGCCTATGTTGCCGCAGGCCATCTAATAAAAAAAAGAAAATATATCAAAGAATAGAATCAATACCTAAATATTATTATTATGTACATATAAATTGATTACTTACCTAGTTACCTACTATTTTTAGAGAAAACCACTACCTATTTATTGTTCAACAAATTATCATTGAGTTAGTTTTGTTTTAATGAAGTTTATGTTTTTAGAAATTTTCAACAAGTGAACAGTCAACTTTCCAAAGCTTATCAGGCAATAAGTATAATTGGATATATTTATAATGATCAAAATATGTTTGATATGGGATTTGTTCAATATCTTAAGAAAAACATTATTAAATCTACTCGTCATCTAAATGTGTACAGGTTTCCAAAGATGGTGAGTTTTAACTATCTTTTTTAAAATACATTAATTTCTTGATTGATTACTATCCCTTAATAGGACTGATAAGTACAAAATATCTAAATAATAGTACGGACCCTAAAACTCAAATTGTTGTAGTGACAAAGTAATGTGATATTTATAATTATTAATGTTAAGCTTTATACATAGACTTAATATATATCTATGATTAGAGCTTTAAAACATAAATAACTTATTTTTATTTAATTGACTTTAGCATTTCATTGCTTAAAAATATTATTGCTTATAGAATGTAATGATCTGATATTGTTAAAAAAAAAACTCGATTTGAGTAAATATAAAGCCTACTTAATCAAATTCCTTCAGCGTTCAATTGGTTTATGGTTAACAGTTAACACATCGTATTCTTTATATCAGGTATTTATTTAAATCTTGTACTATGTGTGACAAGTATAAAAATTAAACATTATTTTTTTAAATTGTAATTTTAATACATGATTAAATATTGATCAATTTTTATCTTTTCAAGTTAATAATATGAACTAATATAAGTTATTAGTTAATCTCTATTATTAATGAAGAATAAATGTCAAGGATGCTCATTTTCATTATCAAGCTTATTTCTATATTATTTATTTTTAATAAATAGTTGTTTTTATATTTTTAGAGCAAAGGATCGGCATTTGATGATAATTTGTTATTAAGTAATTCTGACAATTGTGTAAAGAGTAAAGTCAAAAGTAAAAAAGCATTAAAAAAAAAGGAATGGAAAGATATAAAAGAAAAAAATAATATTGAAGAAATGGATAGATTGGGCTATAGCTATTTGCAAAATGACCCTAAATTGTTGAAATATTGGAAAAAAAGATATTTGTTGTTTTCCTCAATTTGAATAAAGGGGTAAAACTAGATGAAGGTATTTTTATAAGTTTATATTTGCAGATTTTAATTAATTAGTTAGTAATAATTTAACATCCATACTTTTTATATATTTGAAATGTCTTATAATTGGTTTAATTGGTTTCAGAGAGTTGGTATTCTGTCACTCCTGAAATAATTAGCGTTCATATAGCTGAACGATGTAGTTGCCATTTGCTTATTGATCCATTTTGTGGAGGTGGCAGTAATGTTATTCAATTTGCTAAGACTTGTGAGCTCGGTAAGTCTTAAAACGTCATATATTTCACACATACTAGTAACACAATTTAATTTATTTTGTATTTCAGTTATAGCTATAGATATTGATCCAAAAAAAATTGAAAGAGCCCGTCACAAACGCAGAATTATATGGTGTTGCAGATAGAATTCAATTCATCATAGGCGATTACTTTACTTTAGCGCCAACTCTTAAAGGTGATGTTGTATTTTTGTCACCACCTTGGGGTGGACCTGATCGTATGGACCTCGAAGAGTACAAACTGAGTTACATAATGCCAGAGAAAGGTGGCATAAAACAAATGATGAGTTTGACACGACAAATACATCAAATATGTGCGCTACATTACCAATAGAATACTAATATTTTTGATGTAAGACAATATTATATGTTTATAGTAATTAGTTATATGTATATTACCAAATAATAACATTTTAAACATGATAAACATTATATTTGTTCAGGTATTCAATCTGCCAGAAGATGGGTTTATTGAAGTACAAGCAGAATATGGCTTAATTCAAGGTATAACTCTTTAACAGTTTACTACAGTGAACTGTATGGGACTATGTGATGAGATAACTGGGCCACGTATTATGATTGAATTGTGTAAAATTGTTTTAGAAACAACTAATATAATATGAGTATTTTATATTGTGATATTTGATATTCCGCAAATTGCGGTATAGTTAGTGGACTGGTTACAGTTTTAATTGATATAAAAATGTGTCGGAGTACGAAAAAAAACATGTAAACAATATTCAACCTATTATGGTATGCTTTATTGCTATTTTATTATATAAGATTATTATTATGTTACATTATTTTGTATCTATTAAATATATAATATTTAACCCAGTGATTCATTTGATGTAGGACATCATTATTTAAAAAATATTAATGTTTCTAAAATATTTTTAACAGAAGATTTTTGTTGTCATGGTTACTATTATTAACAAAAAACATATATTATATGACTCACCAATTTTCCTTGGAGTGAAAATATCGCGTGGGTTTACCAGTAACCGTTATTCAACCATAACCTCTGTCAGCAACTTTTTTTTTTTTTACCTGGTTTTAAGTCGTTATACAAAACAACCTTTTTACTTTTATATTTTTAAATATTTTTGATCCTTATAATTTTAAGTTTTTTACTTTCTTGAATTAAAACATCGAAAACAGTTTAAATGTCATCTTTGAAAGCAGAAATATTTCTGTGGTATTTTGATACATAAAAATTTATTTCAGATGAGTAGTTTATGAGTTATAGTTATATAAGTATTTAGAGTTTACATGAGCGAAAGTATGACTAACATAACTGCAGAGTGACAGTGTACCACTCCACTCATCTAAAATTTAAATACTTAGTTATAACTCATAAATTAATTTAATTTTGTATATCGAAATACTTAGAAAATATTTTGGGTTTGGAATATGAATTAAAACTATGTGAAGTCTTTCAGAAAAGCAATAACCTAAAAATGTTTAGGATAAAAAATATGTGCCTATATTTTTAAATAATTATAAATCATGTAAACAATTTTTTTTTAAAACATTTATACTTTTTTAAATAAGGAGTGTTCAATGATAAAATAATCATCTGGTATTGTGTATGTTTCATTAATTTTCGTGTCATATATAAATATTAAAGGAGAGTACAATAGTAAGATCCCACATCTCTGTATTGCACACATATTGTATAGTATCACCAAAATATTCATTGTTAAATATTTCATTGTAACTACTAACTAGACAGTGACCACTAATATAAAAATATATTACGACTATTGATTATACAAACCATTTTATTAAATTTATAGCTATTTATTAGTTTTAATATATTTATAGAAATATAATCAGTTTTGATTTTTGGCAGAAGAAGCATTGTTTAATACATTTATTCTGTATATGTAGATATTAAATTATTAACACATTAAAAAATACCTTCTGACAAATTATATTATATTATTATTATTATTTATTCTTTTCATAAGGAGAGCATTGTAGTCACAATGAATGAAATTCAGATAGTACTATAGTAGTCAAAAATCATAATTGACTACTGATTTCGGAATTATACCATCTAAAGAGTAAAAAATTTAATTGTCTAAAAAGTACATACCCAGGTATTAAGTAATAAATTTATACATAGTTAACAATTTGATTTATATTTTAACATTTATAACGCATTGATGAACTTTAACTATAATAATTTTTTGTGTGAAAAAGGGTATAAGAGTGTATTCAATTGTTGATTTTTGGACTAGGGTTTGGATTTTGATGTCATTGTGTGTGGGTTTATGTTGAATCGGTATTGTAAAATAGCTAGCTTATAGTTTAAACTTTACTCTGAAATTCTGGAGATTTTGTTAGATTTGTTAGATCAATAAAAAGTCAAATAAAATCAAAGATACATAAAAAAAAAGAATTACAAGCCAACAGCAAAAACCCTTAATATAAAATATTGAACTTTATTCAAAGTTTTTTTTTTGCCAATTGTTGGTACGCTAATGAAATGAACTAAGGCCAAGTTTTGAAATTGGCATGACACTACCCTCTCCTCCCCCTCAAAATAATATAAAGAGAGCCAAATACACAGGGTGGTTGGACATTTTTTTAAATAAAATATTTGTTAAGTTTAGAGTTATAAATTAGTTAGTGCTCATTGCAAAATTTTTGATTTTTTTTTAGGACATCTATATGAATTATTATAACCAGTTAAGAAGGATGGTGCAAAAATTTAATTGCCAGGAATAATAGTTTATGGTGTAGCACAAAGTTCACAATTTTTGGTGTTTGTGTGCTTACAATTTTTCAATTTTGTTTTTGAAACTTAGGTAAATTAACGTTTAAAAAATTATGGTGCAAAAATAATTCTGACACCCACCTATGGTTGAACCCCCGACTTCTTTCTCTTGAGCACGCCCATGGATACAAGTATAAAATATTCAATACACTTTATAATTTGGAAAGGAAAGTTGACAATAATAATTGTTGTCTGATATATTATAGTATTGATAAAATATTTAATAGTATTATATTATAATAATTTAATATAGATAAGTAGCATATGGAAATGTGGAATACTCTAACGTCTCTACTACTGAAACATCAACCAATCATTATGCCCATGCGCAAAGAATTAAAACTGTAAAATACGTATTTATTTCTTTATTCAAATAATGACAATCATTATGGAAATAAACACAACTTTGTACAAATATTAAACATTTCACCTCGTAACAAATTTTTTGAAGCAAGTTTAAATTGTAAGTTAAAAATACAAACATAATATATTTTATCCAAACAAATAATTACCTATTAATTAATTAATTTGATCATGCCATATGTGGTTAAAATAAACATTGTTAAAACGTCCAAATCGTTTCAAACATACCTTATACATATTAATACAAATAAACACGTAATATAATATATTGCCTAGGTACCTACAATTTTAAAGATAGCATAACATGAACATCTATCTATATCCAATTGGTTGTTAGAAATTAAGTATAGGCAATATTGCGGTAAAGTGCCGAGACCCTCACACTTCTATAATATCTATCTAGTATCTATATACCTACCTTTTATTTTATATCTAATTCACAGGTGATTTTTCAACTGTAAGCACTCATTTACTCTAAAAAAATATTTTGTTAGATTATAATTCTAACTTCTAAGTCATTATGTAATACAACATCTTATGAAAAAATTACAAGTTCAGGTACAAAACCTTATCAGGAATAAGACAATGACGTGACCTACATGGAAATGTAGGTACAAAACAACTATAATGTAATTAAAAAAAATTAAGAAGCTTAAAAAAAAATATATATGTTTTTCAATAATAATAACTATAAACATATTAGGTATGTTGTTTTGTAGTGGGTGTGAATTATACGGACAACATTTTCAAAAACATTGATAATACTTATTGTGTTATAATACGGAACTACCCTGCAGTAACCACCTATATTATATATTATACACATCCCTATATGTACCTATAATATACCTATAATATATTAAACCCCCGATCTTGCTCAGACTGGCAGAGGATTGGAGATCTCTATATATATTATAGGTGTCCCTATATATAGAATTTAATATAGTTTACCTAATATATAATGTTTTATGTATATAGTATAGTAGACAATTTAGTAGGTATATAATATATTTAAATATCGACCGGCGGGTTGTCGTAGGCGATGACATGCGGTCTTTTCGCATTTCTCCTCCGCGCGCCCGGTCCGTTTCTGACGCTATCGTCCAGGATTTCTTGGATCTCCAAGACGTCTTCCCGTTGTCTCGACCGCGTACCTGTGAGAGAAATACGCGCAGGCAAAGTTGACGGCGGAGAACGTCCAGAACATGGTGTAGTAGCCGTACTTGTGCGAGACGACCAGGAACGTCTTGTTGGACATGAACGAGAAGAATGCGAGCGTGACGGACGCGAACGCCGAGCACCGGGACCGGACGTTGACCGGGAACATCTCGCCGAGGAACACCACCGGTATGAAGCCGATGCCTATGGAGAACGTGGCGGCGAAAGTGGTGTGGCACGCGTACGGCAGCCACCGGTACGCGGCCGCGGCGTCGGGGAAGTGCTCGGCGGCGAAGTAGTAGACGCCGAAGATGAACGTCACCAATCCCAGGCCCGCCTCGGAGGCGATCAGCAGGCTTCCGCCCACTCGGTCGACCAGGGCCAGCCCGACGAAGTTGACCACCACCAGGACGACGGCGAACGCGATTATGAACTCGAACTTGCCCAGGATGGGCGACGGTTCGGGCAGGATGAGCGCAGAGTACGCGGTCAGGCTGCTGATGCCTCCGGCGCGCTGTGCCATGCACGCCACCACCACCACGGCCAGCGCGCGGAAGTTGTTCCGGTTGGTGAACAACTCGCCCAACGCCGACCCGTTTTCCATGTCCTTCCGCACGTTGGCCTCCATCAGACGGAGCTCCTCGGCCACGGTGGCGTCTCCTTCGTCGTCGTCGCCGCTGCCACTTTCGCCGTCGCAGCCCCTGTACCAGCGCAGACATCGGGCCGCGTCGGCCGCACGGCCCACCTTGAGCAGGTAGTACGGCGACTCGGGCACCCAGAGGAACGCGGCAAAGAACAGCACGGGCACGATGGCGGACGTAGCGTTGAGCGTATGGTACGACACGTACGGGCCGACGATCACTTCGAACAGGACGCCGCCGCTGAGCTGTATGGTGAACACGCTGCCCAGGGCGCCGCGGATGCCGACGCCCGCGATCTCGCCCAGGAACACCGGCACCACCGTGTACGAGATGCCCTTGCCCAGGCCCGCCATCAACCTGGCCGTGTACAGGGCGACCTGAAGTGGG